ATAGGAGTACTGTGCTAGGTACTAGAGGACATGGTGGGTGGGAGATGTGGTCACTACTCCCAGGAAATTCCAGGGTCATGAGGGAAGAAGCAAGAGTTCCCAAGGGTAATCCAGGAAAGAGGAGCAGGCCATGTCTGAGCAAAAGCCACCCAAATGTGATCCATACACTGGGTGGCAGAGCACTCCGGAGTCACATCCATATATAGCCCCCCACCTCCCAAAAGACAAGACTTCTCTTAACTTTTAGAGAGGGGTTCATTCAACATATGGCCAGTAGATGGCAGCATTAGGTTGCAGTCCGGGTGAAGCCTCCATGGGACCAACGTTGACTGACTTTAGCAGCTTCTCAGATGTGTACTCAGGACAATATTAGCTTGTGCTTATTCTTTAGCTTTTTGTCATTGTTCTGTCATCCTTTTAAGATAGCAAGTTCAAACTAGTTGAGAAAAATTATTCACAGACCAAGTGATTTGGACAGAGCTTAACACCAGTGGTTCCTAACTAAAGGAACACTGTGAGAGGGTGTCTGGTGTGGTTTCGAAGTGTGAACGGACAGGTTGGATGGTGGGCCCTATCAGCTTGAGTCTCATTGCTAGGGTTCTGAGCTTGGGGGAGGAAGTCCACAAAGATAGAGTACAGTCTCATCACATCAAAGGCTGCACGTGAATGTGACTTTAATCACTTGTGATACTAGCTCTTATCACCTGTCAGTGTTAGACCCTCCCCTGTGTCTCCTCCTCCAATACTCTGTAAATGATTTGTAATTCTCTGTAAAGATCTGTCACCCCATCCCCATCTGTTTACCTTAGTATAGCTTATATTTATTTTTACACTGTGTTATAAGCTAATGCTGCATTATTTTGTTGCTCGTGCCAGCTTTATCCATTGAGAACTAACTCTTTAGGTTGATTCTTTTGTCTCTGCTCATTTTTATTTCTCCAAGGCACTTGACGTTTTTGTTGATTGGTTGCTTTGTTTATAGGAATTATATTAAGAGACCAAGATCTGGGTGCGAGCTTTGTACATTACCACTTGGATGCTGAGTCAACCCCCACACCTGAGATTACTTCTGTGTCTGTATGTCTGTATGTATAGTAAGGGACACATGACTTGCTGCTGTTGTGTTTTACTGCAGTTCGGAGTCACTGGATTCATTCTACATTCTGCGAACTGTTCACTTGAATCTTTGCAGTGCGACCTGATTTTTCAGTGTCATGCCTATTTGCCAAGTATTGGCACTATTGACAAGGTTGGATAATCACATTTAATAATCTATGGTAAATTGAGCTGGCCTTTTTTCTTTTTTTGGGGGGGTGGTGTAGCATAGGTTGGTCTCAGACTCCCAGTAATCCCCCTGCCTTAGTCTCCTGAGTGCTGGGATTAGAGATGTGCAGGCTTTAATAAAGAATCTTGCTAGATGGGGCATGAACCTCTTATCCCAACTACTGCTGGGAGGCTGTCAGGTATATGAGATTTTTTTTTTTTTTTTTTTTTTTTTTTTTTTTTTTT